CAGTTGTGGTTGGAGTAAGACCTACTCTGCCAATTAAGGGTATATCATTGTTGTTGGGAAACGACTTGGCTGGGGGAAAAGTTGTTGCCGAACCTAAAATGGTTAGCGAGCCGATCACTGTTTGATCTCAGGATGATGGTGTCATTGAGAAGAATTCTGGTGTGTTTCCCTCGTGTGCTGTGACTCGGGCTCAGGTTAAGAAATTAAGCCAAAAACGAATGATAGAATTGGATTCAGAGGACGATATTATAGATTTTTTTCAGACATTTTTTGGATCTGACGAAGGTCTTGTGGATGATTGTCCTTCTGACCATACCTTGGTGAGTGACAATTATGGACGTGATGGATCTGATTCACATGGTAAAGTTCCATTTACTGAAACTAAAGTGATCGCTGAGCAAGAAAAGGATCCGCAGATCTCTTCACTATTTAAATATGCACTCCCAAAAAATGAACTGGAGAAAGTTCCAAATGGTTATTTTTCAAAAATGATGTGCTTATGAGGAAATGGAGACCACCAGATGTGCCAGCTTCAGAAGACTGGGCTATAATTTACCAAATTGTTGTTCCCAAAGCATATCGTTCTGAAATATTGAAAGTTGCCCATGTACTCTTGTATATAAAACATTGTTTGTAATAATACTAGGCAATATAGACTCTACCTAAACTGTAACTGCAGTTAGATTTGTAGCCCTGTAATACTAGGTGGTAAAGACTTCTTTTAGACTCTAACACAATTAGCCATGGATGAGTTATAATACTGTGCAGTTTAGAATTCATCCAAATTTTTATGCTAGTAAGCTTTGTATGAGCCATAATACTAGACAATAGAGACTTCCTGAAATTCAAAATGTAGTCAATCTTGAATTAACTATAATTCCAATAAAAACGGAGTTCCTTTTGATTCTCAAGCTAGTCAATCTAGTATAACCTATATTACTAAGCAGTATCGGCTTTTTTCTCACCTCTAACGTTAATAAACATTGTATGGCCTATAATACTAAACAGTATAGACTTCTTCTAAACTCTAACATTAGTGAACCTTGTATGAGCAATGACACAAGATTATAAACTCTAACTCTTTTTAATCCTTGTATGATAGATTATAATAGAAAATAGTGATTTTTTTAAATCTCTAATGCTAGTCCACCTTGTATTAATATAAGCTCTAATACTAGGCAGTTTAGACCTTCTATAAGCTCTGTCGCTAATGGACCTTTTAGAATGAATAATACTAAGGTGTATAGATTTCTATTCACTAACCTTGATCGAGCTTGCAGTAGAAATTTCCTTCTCACTTTAATGCTAGTCAAGTCTCTATGAGTTGTAATCGAAATCACTATATATTTCCTCTAAACTCCAATGTTAATGAACCTTATATGAGCTAAATATATATAAGTATTCTCAGCACCAACAATCAGAATCAACTGAGCACTGGAGACCACAATTCTTAACACATCAGTATCATATATAAAAGTTACCTAGTGGAACAGCAGTAAGTATACGGACATATCATGCTTAAATCCAGGGTTCGATTTCCCGAAGTGGACCTTACAGGCAGCCCAATGTAACTTTTCTCTAAAACAACCAACAAACCATTCCATATAAAAAAATAAAAACCATGCTAGTTAAGGAAGCATTCAACAATGATTCATTGCTCAAGCAGTGAAGATCAATTAATGTAAGTATATTAGCTACTAGCTGAGTTACCGGGCGTTGCAAAGTGAAAATTTAGATTTGAAATACATAGATCAGTTTTTTTTTCAGCAAATTATTCAGTAGTAGACAAAAGCTGTGATGCGAGAAATAAAAGAGCATTTATTCAAACAAAGCTTTATTTGAAATTAGATT